CAGAGATCCCTGGACTGAGCTGTGAGTAAGACCACTGAGAATTGAAGTAAACAGTGGACTAATTGAACTGAAATCTGGTTCAGACCCATACTTGTATGTTCGCTGATTGGTTCATCTGAATCCGCTCATTCTAGAATGGTACATCTGTAATAGTGGTGTGAGGATGTGGACTGGATTTTGTTGACTGAAGATAGGGTCTGGCAGTGGGCTTTTGTGAATATGATAATGAAACTTCGGGTTTCATAAAAGGCAGGGAATGTATTAACTAGCTGAGCAACTATGAACTTCTCAAATAGGGTTATTGCATTTTGGACTGTCCATCATCCAGTATTCTAGAAACTAGGAAACAACATTTTGGAAACTGTACCTATTTCCAAAACGTTGTTTTCTAATTTCTAGAATACTGGATGGTGGACGAAGTCGAAAACCCAGTAGTTCTGAGTATTATACACCATCATCAGAACCCTTTAGACTCTACTTGTCTAAAAGGACTTTTCTGTATGGAGTCCGTTGATTCTGCATAAAATGATTGTGTCTTACAGCCTGGCTTTGGCAACTTGACAGCTGGCTGTGTGGCATGCTCTTGTGATCCTGTGGGTTCCTTGTCAGAGGAATGTGACCCCATCTCAGGAAGCTGCAAGTGTCAGCCTGGTATTGGTGGTCCAAGATGTGACAAATGTGAGGAACTACACTTTGGTTTCTTATCAACTGGATGTCAGAGTGAGTACCCACACTATGTGGCCATTTTATTTCAGTAGCATGTGAAACTGGACAGTGCCTTGGTAGGAATATACCCTGAATAATATTATAAATGTTTAAATGTTTGTAGTACATAACATGTTACAGGAAATCCCCTGTGAAATTTAGTTTTGAGAGTTGGGTAGTAGGAAGGAGGCTCACAAAATGTTAAATGATGACAATGAATATTGTGACGAGCCATGACATTTTAAAGAAGGAGATAGTGTCTGCTGAAATATAATGCCATTTAGTCTAGAATAAGGGCAGCAAGCAACATTTTGAAGGAACCTCCTGCCTCTGACTTCGGAGTAAAAGATGTGAACTAAGATGTGAAAATGGTACATAAAATGGGGCTTCTTTTCAGGACATTAGTTCCCATTGCCTTGCTCCTAGCCCTGACTGCAACTCACTCCTTCCAATATTACATACTGTTTTCCCTGCTTTGCTCATTCCTTCTAAACTCTGGAACTTACCAAACTACATGGCATCACATCTTGGAAGACTATAATCTCAGTGCTCACAGCTGCGAGGCTTAAAATTTCAAGTTGTGTTGTCTTGGAGGACAGGATAATAAATTGTGATCTGTCAAACTAGGGACAGAAGAAGTTGTCTTTTATGCTACTTTTTGTCCTGTCAGTATTTGTTCAAAATTTGTACTGCACTGTAGGACTGCTATGTTCTTAACTTGACTAAAGCGTGTTTTACGTTTGCACTCGTTACTGGTACATTGGGGTCATTCTGTTACATGCAGACCCAGTATATGGACAATACAGTATATTCTGGAGTACTGTCATTAATGTAACTGTGAAGTTGATGACATTTACTGATATAAAAAGAACAAATGAGGTAATGAGAAGTATAAAATTGAAGAAAAAAATTTGTAAATAAAATTTCAAAACAACCAGCTGCACAGAAATTTGGAACTGTATATTAGGGCATATAGACCAGTTTCTAGGCAATGACCACGAAACAAACAACAATGCAACAGCCATTGCTAGTAAGCAAATTCTTAACAAGCAACAGTACAGGAACTGTTCGAAATGGTGTTTTCTGTGGTCTGTACCACAGCTGTTACTACACAGCAGTAAGGTAAACATGCCTCTGCAGCAACAGTTGAACTATAACCTCTGTTTTCTACATGGTCCATGCCAAGGGGTTACAAGCTGGATGAAGTTTAGAGTTAGTAGTTAGTTGAAAGTCAGTCTGTGAAGAGATGACAGCCATCCTGGGAGTTAGTCATTTATAACATAATGAGCTGGCATAGAGTTATAAGGGAGCCTGTGAAGAGAAGNTTTGTTGTTCATAGAATTTAAAGACTCTGTAGTCAATTTGTAAAATTTATTATATTATATTAAATAAAAGCCATAACTGTGTACTGCTTCACATATGAACCAGAAAGAAATTAGAATGTGCTGTCTTTGTCATGTAAGCACACATAAAAATGAAGAAGTGAAATGCTTACCTAATTTAAATTGTGAAGTTCAGCATTGTTAAGTAATACTGGAGCTAGGGAATGAAACTGGTGTAAATGGTAGAGGACATATTGAGCAGCTGAGAACTAGTGAATAGTATAGATCTGGGGGATTCATGGACTAGTAGGGATGGTGGAACTCTGAAGACTAACTGATGAATCAAGACTGACAGAGATCCCTGGACTGAGCTGTGAGTAAGACCACTCAGAATTGAAGTAAACAGTGGATTAATTGAACTGAGATCTGGTTCAGACCCATATGTTCACTGATTGGTTCATTTGAATCCACTCATTCTAGAATGGTACATCTGTAATAGTGGTGTGAGGATGTGGACTGGATTTTCTTGACTGAAGATAGGGTCTAGCGGTGGGCTTTTGTGAATATGATAATGAAACTTCAGGTTTCATAAAAGGCAGGGAATGTATTAACTAGCTGAGCAACTATGAACTTCTCAAATAGGGTTATTGCATTTTGGACTGTCCATCATCCAGTATTCTAGAAACTAGGAAACAACGTTTTGGAAACTGTACCTATTTCCAAAACGTTGTTTTCTAGTTTCTAGAATACTGGATGATGGACGAAGTCGAAAACCCAGTAGTTCTGAGTATTATACACCATCATCAGAACCCTTTAGATACTTGTCTAAAAGGACTTTTCTGTATGGAGTCTGTTGATTCTGCATAAAATGATTGTGTCTTACAGCCTGGCTTTGGCAACTTGACAGCTGGCTGTGTGGCATGCTCTTGTGATCCTGTGGGTTCCTTGTCAGAGGAATGTGACCCCATCTCAGGAAGCTGCAAGTGTCAGCCTGGTATTGGTGGTCCAAGATGTGACAAATGTGAGGAACTACACTTTGGTTTCTTATCAACTGGATGTCAGAGTGAGTACCCACACTATGTGGCCATTTTATTTCAGTAGCATGTGAAACTGGACAGTGCCTTGGTAGGAATATACCCTGGATAATGTTATGAATATTTAAATGTTTCTAGTACATAACATGTTACAGGAAATCCCCTGTGAAATTTAGTTTTGAGAGTTGGGTAGTAGGAAGGAGGCTCACAAAATGTTAAATGATGACAATGAATATTGTGACGAGCCATGACATTTTAAAGAAGGAGATAGTGTCTGCTGAAATATAATGCCATTTAGTCTAGAATAAGGGCAGCAAGCAACATTTTGAAGGAACCTCCTGCCTCTGACTTCGGAGTAAAAGATGTGAACTAAGATGTGAAAATGGTACATAAAATGGGGCTTCTTTTCAGGACATTAGTTCCCATTGCCTTGCTCCTAGCCCTGACTGCAACTCACTCCTTCCAATATTACATACTGTTTTCCCTGCTTTGCTCATTCCTTCTAAACTCTGGAACTTACCAAACTACATGGCATCACATCTTGAAAGACTATAATCTCAGTGCTCACAGCTGCGAGGCTTAAAATTTCAAGTTGTGTTGTCTTGGAGGACAGGATAATAAATTGTGATCTGTCAAACTAGGGACAGAAGAAGTTGTCTTTTATGCTACTTTTTGTCCTGTCAGTATTTGTTCAAAATTTGTACTGCACTGTAGGACTGCTATGTTCTTAACTTGACTAAAGCGTGTTTTACGTTTGCACTCGTTACTGGTACATTGGGGTCATTCTGTTACATGCAGACCCAGTATATGGACAATACAGTATATTCTGGAGTACTGTCATTAATGTAACTGTGAAGTTGATGACATTTACTGATATAAAAAGAACAAATGAGGTAATGAGAAGTATAAAATTGAAGAAAAAAATTTGTAAATAAAATTTCAAAACAACCAGCTGCACAGAAATTTGGAACTGTATATTAGGGCATATAGACCAGTTTCTAGGCAATGACCACGAAACAAACAACAATGCAACAGCCATTGCTAGTAAGCAAATTCTTAACAAGCAACAGTACAGGAACTGTTCGAAATGGTGTTTTCTGTGGTCTGTACCACAGCTGTTACTACACAGCAGTAAGGTAAACATGCCTCTGCAGCAACAGTTGAACTATAACCTCTGTTTTCTACATGGTCCATGCCAAGGGGTTACAAGCTGGATGAAGTTTAGAGTTAGTAGTTAGTTGAAAGTCAGTCTGTGAAGAGATGACAGCCATCCTGGGAGTTAGTCATTTATAACATAATGAGCTGGCATAGAGTTATAAGGGAGCCTGTGAAGAGAAGACTTGGTCAGTGTAGTTGAAGAATCCCTGCTGTTAGAAGCCATTACCAGGGAATGACCAAAGAAGACACAGCAGACTGAAAAGACTTAGCATGTTCTGTAGTGATTTGTAAAATGTGGAAATTAGCAGTAGGGCTACAGTTATTTAAAGTTACAACCTGTAAGTGGTCATTAAATTCAATCTCCAATCCAATATCTTGTCTAGAGGCTCTCTAACACATGACAATATAAGGCAGACATTTAAATAATTCTACTCTACAGGTGTGTGTGTGAGTGAGGGGGGGGAGAGATATGTTTAAAGTAACAGTATCTCTTTTCAATGATTGCATTAGGCTCCCCTGGCCGAGCAGAATACACTGTCAGTAGCCGAATGTGCTGTATGCAGTACACAGGCAGAGGAAGAGCAGCTACAAATGAGCCACTGTGAAACTTGTCAGTCTCCCATGGCTTCTGTCAACACCACTCAGTGTATATTATATACTCGTAACCTAGAGTCAGACCTGAGCTGTCACTGTAGCGTTTCCAGGGTAACGTCATTACTTCTTGGCAAATAACATGCAAAAACTAGTAGAGTGAACGCATTTGCAGTCAAGGAATTAAAGGGGAAAGAAGTCTCAGTTCCCAACAATCCTGGTGTTTGAGTCTGAACTTCCTCAATGGCTTTCGAGTTTGTGCAGAAAAAGCATTCAAGTTGGTGTTGCTTGAACAAGAGATACACTAGACAGGATGCTAAGCTAACTGAGGAAAAGCTCAATAAAACTGGAGCCAGATTAGAACATTCACCCTTAAAATCTCTGACATGATTGGCTCAAAGCTTACAGGTTTTGACCACAACAACATGGACAGTGAATAAAGAGTCTGTCTGAATATGTCTGTGGTTGTGTAAAATTAGATAGGTTCAAGCAAATGAAGATGGTTATGGAGAAGAAAGTATTTTGTAACTGGTTTTTCCAGGCAGTACTGATGAAGCTTGGTTCCATCTGAGTTGGTAGGACAGTAGGTACTGGCGCATCATGTATCTATGACAAACTTTTGAAGTACCTCTTCATGATCAGAAGATTAGTGTATGGTGTCCTGGTGTCTTTGTAAAGGTTCAGCAGTCCATGACCAAAGGGGTGCTCAGGAATGTATTAATTCTGATGGAGGGCATTTTGAGCACATCTTGTAAATACATCCTTATAGTGTTGAAATTTGGAAAGGAAGTTAATGCAGTTTTACATTTTTATGAACTGGTTTTGGCACATGTAGCTCATCCCTAAAGTCTCTCCACACATTTATGATTCACTCCGTATATCAGGAAGTTTGTGCAGAATCTCTAAGTAATTTCAACTACTTGTTAAGAAATATAATGCTAAAAACATAAAAAAGAAGCAACAATTTCTGTGTAATTGACTGAGCATGCATTCCACAAAAACAGGTGGTTTTCTATGAAGTGTCATCAGAATTGTTTCCACATCTAAAACTGATATATTCCTCTTTCAGAATTATATGTAGCCTCATGCTAGATAAAGAATATTCATTGTTACTTATTACACATAGTGGAGGGTGGCCAGTGTGTTAAATAGTAGTCTGGATCATGTTAATTCTTCATGTGGGAGAGTAGTATTCTAGTTTCTCAGACATTAGGCGGACATTCCATTATATTGGGGCTTGTTCTGATAGCAGGAGCAATGGCAGAATGAATGGGACACAGCTGTAAGTGGATAGAGTTGTCACAACTTGTATTGCCACTCACTTTTATCTACTGGGTTTGTGCAGGAGAGAGAAGGGGGAGAGGAAGAGAGTAAGTGAGCGAGTGTCAACTGTCATCCTGAGAACAGCTCTTCTTGTTATGAATTAGGGTTTAGATAGAATGACTGGGGGAGGGCAGTTCCTTCATCTTTTAAAGCGCAGTGGTTACAATGCTGGTGGAATGAACATGCCTGAAACATAAGCTTATAATCTAAAATGGTGAATGTATCATAAGCCTATATTTTGAGATAAACATAGATACAATTGCATACAAGTGCATGCAATTTCACTTGTCACTTCACACTACATGTTTCGGCATCATTCTGCCATCCTCAGGTCTACCAATCACGTTAAACCATTGCACTGCCTGCCATCAAGTGTTAAGATCTGTATTTTAGTATATAAATTTATTATTCAACAACGACGAACACACATTTTATATCATTTTATAAATGGACACTTGATGGCAGGCAGTGCAATGGTTTAACGTGATTGGTAGACCTGAGGATGGCAGAATGATGCCGAAACATGTAGTGTGAAGTGACAAGTGAAATTGTATGCACTAAAAGACGGTTAATATATACACATTATGGATATGAATCAGTGCAACAGGACGCTAAAATACAACAACATAGATACATTTTGATAAACATACTCACTCTCACTAGAAATGTGTTTCGTCCTACAATTCTGCAGCGAATGCTTGATTATCTGTTGGAAACTGATCATGAATCTCATTCCCTATATCACTTGCAACTGACAGAAGAATTTCCATGGGTATACTCTCCTTTAAAAATTCCTATAAACATCTCATTCTCAAATAATCAAAGACTTTGCAGTATTGCCAAAATTTCACTCGTTCAAAATAATGAAAGTGAGGTGAACCTTGACCCATACTGAGTATTTCTTAATAGAAGAGAGACATATATCAGCTATCCCACAAAAGGGGAAAATAGTTGAAAGAAGCTTTGGTCCAGTGCAAGAGCAATTCAAGTCAGAGATGCCATCTAATTATTTTCTGCAGCAAACAATAGAACTTTTCCTAAAATCTCACAATTCACAAACGAAGTCAAATAGGAAAACAAAGTTAGAGAAATATATTGTTACACTATATGCTTAAAATTTGAAGAGTTTAGGTGAGATGATTAACTCCATTGAACAGAGTATTTTCTGAGAATTCAAAATTGCCCACCTGGTCAAGAAATTTCGCACCTTGTATAAAGCCCAAAGTTCTTCTTCACTCAAAGGATTTCACCTCTATCTTAACCTGAGCTAGATAAATGCAGATTATTTCCTAGCAGTCATCCATTTTAATAGTATTGTCTCATAATTGCACATATGTGATCATTTTTTCAAGGTAAATAAGTTACTTATGTGAAACAGATGGTGGAGTTGGCAGTAGCTGCTAGCTACATTGCAGTCCATTAGCTGAAGCTATCTTTATTGCCACAGTGCCACTTTAGGCAATGTGTTTTACATGTCTGAGCATTATAATGTTCAATTGTCTGTTGCAAAGCAGGTTCAGACTGGTCCACTTAAGCTTTCTGAAGATTTAGAGACCTGATTGCCTTATTAGTGTCAAATGTTGAATACTTAATGTTATTGGCATCGTAATATGTGTATAAATATCTAATTTTTCACTGGAAATGTTTATTGTTCTCCTGTGGTAAACATGGGTTAAATGGTTAAGAATCATAGTTGGAAATGAACTTTCGAATCAGCTATTATATTTCAAACGTTAATTTCACAGTGCTCATGCAGTGTATCAAAATTTGATGTAATAATGTTGGTAAAGAGAACATGGGTTTCATAACATTACCAGCCTACGTTTCTTTCATAAGGAAAAATGAAGTGGGTTTATGAGATCACAATGCTGTCTGCATATGCCTCCTTTTCAGTTTATGAAACAAACTCGTGAAATTTTGTATGGACAGCTTGGCATTGGAGGTCAACCCACTGTCA